ATGTTAAGGTTTGGCACCACCATGTTGCCATCCGTAAGGTGAGGGAGAGAGTATCAGGCTGGTAGGGGTGGGAAAATGTTGCTGAGCATCACTGTGACCTTACATCTCAGAATTAACATTATCCTCAGTATATATATGTATATTTATTATTTTTTAGAGCACAATTTGACTTTTTATTAGGAAATAATTCCTCTTTTTTTTTATTTTTTTTTTGATAAGTAAGTAATTCGCTCCTGGAAAAGTGTTCCCAGGAATTTTTGACTCACTACAGCAGGGTCAGCTCTCTGTGCAAGTCAAATGGATGCAAAACAACATACATGTAGGCTCTAGTCTACTGGGTTTAGATCAGAGACGGATCAGATGACTCACAGGAATCTATGGAAATAGATCAAAGAAGCAGCACACGTTTGAAGGAAGCGTTTGCGTTCGGCAGGGAGCGGGTTGGGTTTTTTCCTGAGCGCGGCTGGGAGCGTGAGTCAGAGCGTGGGCCAGCGTGGGCGGCTGCATCTGTGGGTGTCGGGCCGAGACAGACGCAGATAGATGGCTGCAATTAAGTAGTTAGCAAAATGACTGTAATAGTAAAATGAATTTAAAGGCACAGCTCGCAAACGTGGCGTTCCCAAGCAGCTCCTTTCCCAGAAGTTTGGGGACCGGCGGGCATTTCCCATAGGATGCTCCACTCCAGGAGCCAGTTATCCCTTGCTGACATGGGAGGCAACTCGGGTGGCTGCTTGCTGGAGGATGGATGATTTCCAGGTGCTTTGCACACCCTGAGGAGGACACAGGATGGGTGGTGAAGCCCTTCGTGGGGCCACAGGCATTGATCCTGGCAAACTCCTGCCAGGGAAAAAGAGGTGAGGGGAGGGAGGGATGCCATGCAGATCTCATAAGGGAGCAAGAGGAAAGAACAAATCTACATTTACTGGGAATAGTTGCAAAATGCCTATGCACTTCTGTAGGATAGGATCATGCCCAGAGCTCAGAATAGCTAAAGTTGGTGGGGGTTGCTATCCTTTCTAGAGGCTGGCACTGGATCCCACTCATAAGCCCAGTGGTACTCCAGTCTGGAAAACCTGCCCTTGGGCTGTACCTGTGCCTTCATGGTGAATGCCAACTATGTGGGAAAGAACCTGGGGCTGTTGATCGACAGCCAGCTGAATAGAGGCCAGCAGTGTGCCCAGGTGGCCAAGAAGGCCAGCAGCATCCTGGCCTGTAGCAGAGAGAGTGTGGCTAGGAGGAGGGGCGGTCCCCCTCTGCTTGGCACTGATGAGGCTGTACCTTGAGTACTGTGTTCAGTTTTGGGCCCCTCACTACAAGAACATTGAGGTGCTGGAGCAGGTCCGGAGAAGGACAACAAAACTGGTGAAGGGTCTAGAGCACAAGTCTAATGATTAATGGCTGAGGGATTGTTTAGCCTGGAGAAAAGGAGGCTGAAGGGAGACCTCATTGCTTTCTGCAACTACCCAAAAGGAGGTTGTAGCCAGGTGGTGGTTGGTCTCTTCTCCCAGGAAACAAGCCGTAGAACAAGAAGAAATGGCCAGGTGAGGTTTAGATTTGATATTGGGAAACGTTTCTTCACTGAAAGGGTTGTCAGGCACAGGAACAGGCAGCCAAGGACAATGGTGGAGTCACCATCCTTGGAGGTATTTAAAAGCTGTGTAGATGTGGCACTGAGGGACATGGTTTAGTGGTGGCCTTGGCAGTACTGAGTTAACAGTTGGACTCAATAATCTTAAAGGTCTTTCCCAGCCAAAACAGTCCTGTGACTTTTAACTGCCTCCAAGGGACCTGGCTCAGCTCCTTTGTTCTGGGTGCCCCTGCAGTGGCAATAGCACCCATCTGACCATGGCTAGCCAACTCCATCCCTGCAGGACTCACCTCTCTGCAGCCTCACATGGGAGCTTTCGGGGGGAAATAGAGCAAAGCTCTCTTCCTTGCTGCCATTTTTAGGTATTGCTACTTCATGCCCTGCCCATCAGATCTGTGTAAGTCTGCATGACATGAGAGAAATCTGAGTAAAATAAATCACTAGAGCCCTCATTCAGTAAGTGACAAAGAAAACACACATCTTGCAGCCACAAACCTGCATAACCAGCTCAATCTCTGCACCTGACCTGGGCAAGAGATACCGTGGTGCCAGATACCTGCTTGGGATTGATGTCTGTGCTTGTGGTGGTTGAGCTTAATTTCCCCACATTAGTGCCACTGACTTACTCATTAGTATCAATTTACTGAAGTCTGTTAATAACTTTTATGTGGCTTTTTGGGAAAAAAAATTAAAAATCATCCTCCAAGGCCACTTTGCCATTCTGTGAATTTAAGATGAGAGGGAAATACTTCCCTATGTATTTTACTGCCTCATTTAATGATGAACTACGATTAGATTTGCTGTCAACAAGGGCAAATGGCTCAGGGTTCTCATGAGCCATGAGGATCTCATGTGCCCAAACACAGAGAGATGTCCTGCTGCATCAGACAAGCAGGTTCCTTCATGTTTCCAGACTTCACCGATCTGCCAGTTTAGGATAACCTGTGTGCTCCGGTAAACCTCTTAACTTCTGCTAGAAACCGTGCATGTTTATTAGTAGTATTTTAATACAGAACTTACATGGATCCTGTTTAAGATATTGCTTGGTATGGTTGCCCTGCACCCCCCTATCTGGCCTTACAAGGAGACATGTACAGCAGGGATTTCCTTTTCCAAACAGATGGCTGTGGAAGGAAGGTTTTATAACTTATTTTTGAGGTTTTATTGGAGATGTTCTGCATAGATGAGGAACCAAAGGATGGCTTCTCACTCTAATTGCTACACAGAGCACATTTTAGCTGGGAGAAAGTGTGTTGTTTTGAATAATTAAAAAAACCCCAACCTCTTGAAGTAGTAGATGTGTAAAATTAATGTATTTTTAAAATTGTCAGTATAAGTGCTTCTAAATGCGTCCATGTAGCACATGCTGCCCACGCAGTTGCAGCATCTCCCAGTGTGTGTGAGCAGCCCTGTCCCCTGCTGAGTGTCATCAGAGCTGCACATGGCCACTGCCAGCTCCAGTGCCCAAATCTCACTTAATTTCTGAAGTCCTGGGTGCAACACTTTGCTTTTTGCAGCTAAATGAGGTTGCACTATTGTCCATTCCAATACCCTTCCAGCTATCCCTGGCAGCAGGAGGAACAGCCAGCCAGCGATGAGCTGGGAGATGTTCAGGCTGGTTGAAAGATGCTCTGTATGGAGGAAGAGGGACTGCATGGAGGTGCT